TCTTGCATTATAGCCACACTTTGAATATTCATGTGGCTAGTGGATTCCACATGGACAGCGCAGAGATAATGGGACATTTCTATCACCACAGAAAATTCTATTGGACGGCACCCCATTAGAATCTTGCCACTGTTCTTCCTCAGTTCAATTAATATTTGTTAGAGAATGTTGATACCTTAATCTGATGATTATAACGTTCCACGGACACTCTTGAAAATATAACTATGTTCTTTATATCCTTCACTATAAATCTGCATATTTTTTTTGTTTTTTTTAAAATAAAGTTTCTTGCTTCCAGTTTTGTGTTGTAATGTTTGCGCTTTTGCCAAAATTACCTTTCTCTAAAGGAGAGGTGACTCTGCTGACCTCCAGCCATTTAAAACAAACTCCCGAGAGTTGCTTTGCAGGGACAGCTCAGTCACTGCTGACATGAGCCCAGTGCAAGCACAGAGTTGAGGTCTCCGGTTCACAATGAGGAAACAGTCCCATTAAAGGTACTAAAATGTTTTTCCTTTCTTCCATGGCCTCTAGCAGCTTGTTATGGTGGTTTTTGCTAGTTAATGCTATTCTAAGTAAAATTAAAATTTTAAATTATTAGCATTAATTTTATCATTCATCTTTATTTTATCTAATTCCAGTTTTAGCTGCAAATATAAAACATTTAACTCATGCAGAACAACCAAAATTACATAATTTGTATTTCATACTTATGTATACATACTGTGTGCATATGTATTCTTACCAGAACTGTGGAAACACTGCATAAAACTAGCTCAAATGTTATCATTTCACTTCTTGATATGTACACATTCTATCAACACTTTCAACTTACTGATGAATAAGGAAGTTCTGAAAGAAAAAGAAACTATGTTTTCCCATATGTTTTCCTTTTCTTCTGTGTCATCATTTTTCAGCATAAGTGGTTGGCTGATACTACCATGAGTAAGAAAGAATATGTTAGGGTTCCGTGGTCATTCATGCTGCTTAGAATACCATTACCTTCTTTTTTGCATTTGAATCAATTCTGCTCAAGTGGAAAGTAAGGTCTTTTGGGGCTCAGTACCCCCACATAATAGGCTTGTATTCATAACAGGCTTACCTTGTACTCAATCTCTGAACACTCCCATCCGGTGGGCCCACAGGAATTCTCTGCTCACAGGCATCTCAGAGCTGTAAGTGAACGACAGTAAGAATGGTGGACGCATGTATTGCACGCATCTCCTCTGCTCAGGTGTGTGCTCCTTTGCTTCATCAGACTTCACTTAAAACATACAAATTCAAAGATAAAATTAAATACTACAAAACGGTGACAGAAGAGCATTAAACCAGGTACTGAGGCCCTTCTGAGTGAGATGCCCACCCAGGAAGCTGGCCCTGGAGGAGGAGGGGAGCGTCCCAGAGAAAGGTTCAGACCGAATGTACGTCGAGTGGGTCACATTGGAATAAACTCACCCGTGAGATTGATGTTTTGAAAGTAGAGTGATTAACATGGCAGTAGGCTCTACTATAAAGCAACTGTACCTCAAAATACATCATCCTGGAATCACAAAACGAGACCGAATGGCAGAATGCCTCCGGAGAGAAGACTGCAGATTTGCCAGCACCCAACATCAATCACAGAATTCTCCTTTGAGGACAAGAATTCCCAAGCTCAGAACTCGGTGTAGGCAGGGAGTGGACATCCTTGCTCAGACACTGAAGTTCCTGGTGGAGCAAATGGCAGTCTAAAGCAATTTTATACACACATTTCACACAAACCTCCTAGATTTAAAATGAATAAACAGCAACAAAGCACAGACAAAAGGTGTGTTCTCTCAAACCTGGGCGACTAAGCACAGATAGACATTGAAACTTAAAATTTAAAATTTTTTCCTTGTCTCTAGTCACCATAGTGTTCAGCAGTCACATATAGTGACTGCCATACTGAACAGCATGTGCACAGAACACCCAGCAATGCAGAAAGCTCTCTGTGGGCAGCCCTCTCAGACCCCATGTGGCTTTTTTTCACATTACAGTTCTCAGAATAGTTCTGTAACGCCTTTTTATAGGATACTATACTCAACAAAGAACAGAGACATTTACTTAATTTAAGACACCCCTTTTCTAGGACACAGCATCCTTTCCTACTTTATATATGTTTACAATATATAGGGAAACCCAGGGGTGAGTCAGCACGCACTGCTCACCATGGAAAGGGGCCTTCGTCCTGGCTGCAGGGTGGGCTGCACCAAGGCCTGGGCTCTGCCCCACAAGTTAGTCATAGGCAACAAAGCAGCTCAGCCTCTAGGCCTCTCCACAGTCTCCAGCGTGGAAAGTTGAGAGAAATGAAGGAGCGGGTTTTCTGCATCTTAAAGCAGCTCATCTCTGCCCTCCCAGGGACCATGTGGGGCTGGCTGAGAACACCCTCCAGAGCTCAGGAATGATCACTCGAGAAAGGACATTTCTCCGTGCCTATTATTAAGTGACCTTTTTCTTTTTTCACGGCATAAAGACTGGCAAAGAATACCTTGTAGACTAACCAAGACAGGAACACAAACAGCCCTCAGAAAGTTCAAATCCAACGAAGAGAGAGGCCTCATCCCTCAAGCAAAAGCTGCAAGGGACAAACTATTGACAAAATTAAGATGGAAAAGCAGCTCACCTTTTCCAAGTCGCCTTGTAAACGAGGCCATCCCTCTGGATACAGGTGGAGGTACAGATTGCTCTTGGGGTGCTTGGTCAATTTATTGGCTTTGGTCAGATTAAATCTTACATCTCAGATTAAACCTTACATTAAACCTAACAGTACAGATTGCTCTTGGGGTGCATTTAAGTGGCTGGTTCCTGAGGCACATCTCCCTCAGGTGGCTCTGGCCCATGACCCCTGAAACAGAGCTGGGATTCTAGAATGTAGGCTTATTGAGCAACTAAAGAAGAACAATGAGACCTTAATTACTGTCTTCACAACTCGTGCTTCAGGCCATTTAAAAACAGGAACTCTGCCTTAACCAGTTTGGCTCAGTGGATAGAGCTTCGGCCTGCGGACTGAAGGGTCCTGGGTTCAGTTCCGGTCAAGGGCATGTACTTTGGTTGCGGGCATATCCCAAGTAGGGGGTATGCAGGAGGCAGCAGAGCGGTTTCTCTCTCATTGATGTTTCTAACTCTCTATCTACTCTCCCTTCCTCTCTGTAAAAAAAAAAAAAAAAGTATTTGTCTTTCTTTACCAGCAGTAATTTCAACCCAAATTAAGAATTAGGCACAAAGATATTTGTGGGGATAACCAGCAAGATTAGCAATGGCATCTCACAAGTATAAGGTACCATTCACTTCAATGCTTCTTTTAAAGAAATTTTACTTCCTGAGTCAAACAACACTAATAGAGAAAGCCTGAGTGAGTGGCAGCAAGAGAGAGGCCATGAGCAATAGGAAAAATGCTTCAGTTTCACCAAAAAGTACTAAACCAAGTTCCCAATGAAAAGAGATCCTCTTTACTTTTGGTGTAACCAAGAACTTAGTTTTAGCTTGCTTGCTTCCTCTCAGGATTTTTTAATTTTAAAGATAAAACTAACATTAGATTTTTTCAGTCACTTCCTTCCAAATGTGACTTTTATTCTAAAGCAGGGGTGGGGAACATCCGGCCCTTTGGCCTTAAAATCATTTGGTCTGGCCCTGCCAAGGCAACCACGGGCAGGACTCAAAATTCAATAAATCTAGGAGCTTTTTTCATAGCAACATAAATTTATATCAAGTAAATTATATTAAGCGAATGATGTTATATACAAATGGCCCTTGACAGAAAAAAGGTTCCCACCCCTGTTTTAAAGCAATAATTCAGCAGAATACCTAGGGTCCCCATAAGGGCATCAAAGTACTTGTTCATTAAACAGTGCAAGAGAAATGCGTCTTCCTTTTATTCGTACATGATGATCCCAGTGACACAGGTATTCTGTGTCTGCATCCAGTTCCAAAGCAAATAAACACAAACCACGAAACCATATTCAGAATATAACACGCTATTTACAACCATAAGGAAACAAACATTAACACCTAATACCTTGTAATGAAGTGATTAAGTAAACTCAATTGTCTGTAACATGCAGACCTAACTCTTGCAGGTCCCGGGCTGTCCTGGGGTGCTCACACTCACCACGTATGACAGACACCTGCTGGAAAGAGCCCCCTGTGGCTCAGTGAGTGGGGGTGCAGAAAAGGGAGACAGACACAGAGGCATGTGGGGTGAATCTATGATCTTTGGCTCTTCAGACAACACAACTGAGATTGTCTATAAATCACATCTGCCCAGATTCAGGAATACAGAGTCACAGAGGTGTTGAAATTAAGGCAAAGGTAGCATTAGTGACCCGACTATCTTTCAACCCCCCAACTACCTGCTGCAGGGGGTTTACCTTTCCCTGCTTTCTGAGGCAGAGGCTCTTCACGGGAGCCATGCGACCTTGGATGGAGGGACTTCTGGGAAGGGCTCGGCTACCACCTGGGCAGCAGCCCCTTCAGCGTGGCTCTGCCATTGCCAGGAGCTCCTCACGGCGTCTCCCACTCCGGACACCTTGTCTTCTGATGACGGGTCCTTGAGTGCCCAGGCCTCCATTTGTCATTCTCTGCACTCAAAGCTTAAAATTTTCATTTTCGTTTGGTGACAGTAAACTTTTTGAGATAATGAATTTTTACATAAAGGGGCAAATGAGTGAGTTACAGAATAGTTCAGATTTTTAAATGCTACTCTACATTTTTGCTTCCACATCGCTATGGAGCAAAGCAAAGCACATGAGTAAGGTTATCGCTAGCATGATGCCTAATTAATGAGGAGTTACAAAGAGCGCACTGCCAGGCTCCTCATTCTATTAACCAAGCTGGAACACCCCCCGCCCCCTCCCAACCCCGGGGCCTGAGATGGTTCTGAGCCAGCATCCTGGTGAACCTGGGGAGAGGTTTTGCTGACTCAGAAAGAGGCAAAACTGAGCTATTGAAGGTCCTAAAGCCAAGAGAAGAAAAGTTTCGCATTATGACATTAAACTCCATTTATTTAGTATCTGAAACATGGTGTACATTTATGAATCCATATAAACATTTAGTACATCTAAAATCCACAACTGGTCAACAGCCTGTGCTTTCCTTTGTGTACAGTTGGGTTTTACATCTGGACACTTTGGTGGTGTGGAGAGACCCAGGCTGTGAATCTAATCCAACTGCCTCATATGCCCTTAGTCACTGACAGAGTGATCTGCTCCGGAAAAGTCCGTTCCTTGCACAGAAAAGGTGTCTCCCTTTGGAACTACTAAACCAGGTGTCAAGGAAACAAGAGAAAGTACAGGAAGGAGACTCCATGTCAGCGCGCAGCACGCAACACAGCCCCGTGGCGCCACAGAGAGATGGGCACTTTCTTTCAGACCTTTCGATGCTCATGCTGACGTAGAGCCTCCTCGCCCTGCACTGCAGGGGCTCCGTCCAGCAGGAGCATGCACTCTGCTCAGGCACACTTCTTAGGGTGCCCCCGGGGTCACAGCTGCAGCTCCGAGGTGCCCACCAGGCCCAGGGCTCGGGCTTCTTCTGGAGTCAGGCCGCTTTTCAGGGTCCTTCGCACTGCAGTGCATAAGCGGATCAAAGGGTGAGAAGAGAAGGAGGGATTAGCAGCCAGGCACAGGGATGCGGTCCACCAGCCCTCTTCCCCAAGGACTCCAGGCCATGGGGTCACAGGGCTCCCAGAGGCTCGGCCCCATCTGGCTCCTGCTGAAGTGCCCTGGCTGGCTGGCTGGGGCTGCAAGAGGCTGACCTGAAGATGGCACAGAATCTGACCTGCATGGTCTAGTGGAGGGGGGCCTTGTAAGGGAAGAAGGGAGAAGAGGCTCATCCTTACAAAGTTTCTGAGAAATAGGTGCAAACTGCAAACGTGCAGGTGGCATGTTGAGAGCTCAGCCTCTGACCGGCATAAGGAATGGATCAGAGCTGGAAAAGTAATCACGGAGCAAAGGAAAACGCAAGTTCCAATGATGCCAATTGGGTAAGATCACCCCACAAACCCATGACCTTGGACAGCAAGGTGTCAACAGACCCCAGGGCAACGGGCAGCAGTCAGGGTGAGTCTGTGAGTGTCTCCACTCATCAAAGCGCCTCTGGAGAGAATAACCAGGAATCCCCTGCAGGCTGGCTGTCACAAAGCAAATTGCCAAATGTTTCTGGGTAGTTCTGGTGGATGTTCTCTGTGAAACAGGCTCAGGAAGGACCAAATGACCCCTTCACTGGGCGCACACCTGGCCGTCGAGGAACACTCGCATTTCACGGACCTGGAATTGGCCTCTGTGTAGCCCAGCATCATGGATTGTCCCATTGCTCAGTGTTGATCAGTTCTGATGTCAAAATACAGGCTGGATAAGGGTGAATGAGTAGACAGCTGCCTCTTTCAAAACCAGGCCTTTCCTTTGAAAGGTTGCCTAATTACACTTCTCTTCATTTATAAATTGTGTTTGGTCTATCCTATATGTAAGATCATACAGAGTTTGGAGGATATGGTCTATGTTCAGAAGAGGCATGTTACAGATCCACCTTCCATCCTAAATCCTAAATCCACCAGAGTCCCCGAGATGAGCAGGGCAGGCCCTTGATCAGTAAAGCTCACCCTTATTCCTTCCCATCTTCCCTTGCCAGACCCAGTTCCCTGAGTCCACTCTGTGACCATGGGCCTGTATCCTCTGAGACCTCCTCTGAGGCCTCTCCACAGGCAGGGCCCCACCTCCTATGTCTGCAGGCAATACCCCCCATTCCATGTCTCCCCATGATCCGCTGGGAAAAAGCCCATGTAGCCTGTGGACAAAGGATCTGAAAGACCCATGCCCATTGGAACGAACAGGGGTAATATCTATGAATAAATGGTGTCTTCTCTCCCAGGGATAGCACTTTGAACAGGGACCAACATCTAATCCTTCAATTAGTCAATCAACAAATGGTTTATGGAGAACCTACATATCTATGAATAAATGGTGTCTTCTCTCCCAGGGATCAGCACTTTGAACAGGGACCAACATCTAATCCATCAATTAGTCAATCAACAAATGGTTTATGGAGAACCTACTGTGTGTTTGCCCTTTACTCAAAGAATCAGCACACTTCTGGAAAGCTCTCAGACACCAAGTGTGGGTTTTTATAGAGATTCAAAGACTTGTACCATGCCACCAACGCACACTACTGTATCCCAAGCCCAGCTCTGGGCCCCAAGCTACCCATCTGCAGCTGTTCCTGCACCGGCCCCCACTTCCCAACGCAGCCCCTGGGGCTCCAGACTGAGTGTCTAACTCATCCAGACAAAATGTTTGGCTCCAGAGCCTTGGCTGGAAGCAGACTGCATTTATTTAATTGAGTAATGGAATTTGTTCTATGGGGCAGCCATAAAAATACTAGTTTGTAATAACCTTTTATGTCCTTTAAACACTCCTTCAAGTGTTGGTTAAAGAAAGATAATTTTAATGGCAGAAAAGAAGATAAAATGTTTCTCATTCTTGACAAGGACTACTAGGACCTCTCATCCAAGACACGGAATTCTGCCCAGAGAAGCCCATGCAGCATCTTACATTTCATTAGCTGCGGAGGCGGCACGGACACGTGCCTATGACCAGATTCTCTGTGCCTTTGGGTAAATATGCTTGGCCGAATGATGACAGAGGCTCTGTGAACGGGTGGGCATTTCACCCACGATGGCATTTAGAATGCTGCCTTCACACTCCCGGCCACACGCTGGCTTTCGTCCTGTGACTGTAGTGTTTGGGAATACTTGAATAAGGGAATACTTGAATAAGAACCCTGGCACCTTAGAGCATGTGCACTGATGTAATAGAGATGGGCATGGGCCAGCTTGGCTGAGGCAGCTCGGAGAACAGAACAAAGTCTAACCGGTGCTTCGCCGACCTTCCTGCTTGACCAGAGGCTGTGCCTTTGGCCTCACCATCTACTCAGAGTGCTGATGTGCAAGGCCCCTGGGACCTCCTACACCCCTTCCCCATGGCGTGTGTGTTCTCTGCTGCAGGGGAAAGCCAGAGTAGGCTAAGGTCCCTTTGCTTGCCAGATGCATTCCTGAAAAGTGAATCTTCCTAGAAAAATCTGTGCCATCTGTAGAATCCTACTTTCTGTAGGCCTTCATGACAATTCAGATAAATTCTCTCACAATAAATATAATACTGAACATAATAACCCCATAAACATGAATATATTAGCCCCCCAAAAGACGTAAAGAATCTGAATCCTTCCTTTGTTAGAGTCAAAGTTAATTCATGTTACTGCTTGAAGGTGTGAAATGAAGGCAATCAGTTAAAATCAGGTTTGTACCCCAATTCAGATCACATATAGAAAGGGCTCTTTGGGTGTCATTTCATCCGTCCATCTGCTCACCAGTTCACTCATTCATTCAGCAAATGTGACTTGAGCCAAGTACTGCCGGCAGGGAGGCAAGGGGCTGACAGGGACGTGCTGCGAGGGATCCGCAGACCTGTCCAGACACGGACTTGGCTCTCACTCTGAAAGCAAAGAAGGGCGGGGGTAGGGTGGGTAGAGGGGGTGCTGAGAGAATGAGGGGACCAGCAGATGGGGCTGGCAGGATGTGGGACTTGTACAAGTCTCCCATCACACAGGGGATTTCTTCAGTGCTTGCTTAGGTCTGATAAGATAATGTCTGGGCCCCCCTCCGCTCCCTGTTCCTGCTTCCCTCTGAGTGCTCTGGCTGGAGCTGCGCAGCCTGTCACATGCGGCTGCCTCCCTTCCTCAGCTGCTTAACAGAGAACAGACCTCGGTAATGTTTATCCCTGTCTGCCTCGCAGCTCTTCCATACACGGCGCGGGTCACTTTGCTGGCCCTGCAGCCGCTCTGCCCCAGGCACTGTGACAGCTCTCACGCAGCCCCGACAGCAGTGGGAACCTGGGCTCAGACACAGGGCGCCTCTGCCTCCACAGGCAGCACAGGGGTGTCTGGGACTCACAAAACCCACGTTCCTTTTCTCATCTCCCACCCTCCTAGAAGTGAAAACAAATTTTAATCCTGCAAAGTGCTCTCAGGTGACTGCTGAGAGGAGTTGAATCTGAGAATAATGGCAATGGTGGCCACAATCTACTCCATGAGCCAGAACATGGATTATTCCTTTTGATCTTTGTGGAAAGCCTATGAGATGAGTAGTGTTGTTTCCCCAGTAAGTGAACAAATGGCAGAGATCGAGGCCCTGGCCCAAGTGCACACAGTAAGCGGGAGAGAAGGATTTGAGCCAGGACGTTTGACTGGGCTCCATCCTGTTCTGGCCCCTCTGCTCCTGCAGCCCAAGGGGCACTGATGGTGGCACTCCTCCCAACACGCACAAGCCCTCGAGTCACCCTCTAAAATGTAATGACTCTCGGCCCTAGACGGGTAGCTCAGTTGGTTAGAGCATCGTCCTGATATGCCAAGGTTTAATGCATAAAGAGTGGAACAACAAATCTCTTTCTCTCTCTCTCTCTCTGAAAATTCAATAAATTAAAAAACTCAATCAATAAAATTAAACATAATAACTCTCAATCCAACACTTGGTTTTCTCATGGGCTTGTTCTATTTATCTTCCTGTCCTGTGTCCTGTCCATCTGGGTAGGCACCCTCAGCTGCCTTTTGTGGAGGGATCAGACCAGCTTTAATGAATCTGAAGAATAATTAGATGCTCACTAAACAGCAATGATGCTGTTGTTGAGAAGACAGAAGTTGGATTGAGGAAGCTTTATTTCCTTCCAACATCTTATTTTATTGTATCCCAAGAGCATTAGTGTTAATGCCTCTGGCTTATGGCCATTGTTATCTTGCACTATAAATATAAATTTTATGTAAATATAAAATTGGTTCATGGAAAGTAAGGAAGAACTATTTAAATTAAATGCAGAGAAAATTTTAAAAATGGGATTAGTGGGGGAAATTCCTGGGTATTTTCAAACACCACTTTGGAAAAGTAGAGAAAACTGAACTAAGTTGTGCACGGAATCTAATCTTGTGAGACATAAATCATGTTTTCCCCAAAACAGATTCAATAACTTTTCAGATTCGATCATTCTCTTTCTCCATGAACTGCTACTTAATAGATAGCCTGGCTACACCCCTCAATATTCTGTAAGAGAAATAAAATAAGATTTTAGCTATGTCAAATGTGCATTCCTCTCCCCTTGGTGAGGAATGCCGCAGCGTCACGAGAGACACTGTGGGGGAATGGTGGTGTGAGGGATGAGTCAGGGCGAGAGAGAGAATCTGAGTTCTGCGTTCCTTTCCCAACGGGCCCTGGAATCAAACTTCTGGCTCTGCCCAGGGGAAACTGTTTTTTCATAAAGGTGTCCACCATTATGATCCTAACAAACTAAGAAACTGGTTGATTACGTGTAGGTCACATCAAAGTGATCACATCTTTAAAGAAACATAGCTCTGAGCCCCAAACTCCATGGTCATGTCGCAACAGGGCCCAGACTCTCCCTTGGAGGAAAACTCAGCAGAGAAGGGGCACCTGCCTCTCTCAACCATGACATGACCCTGGGGACAAGAGATAAAGCAGACTATAAGTCCCTAATCCCCGATCTGTTCTGTGATCATCTGGGCTAGTGGCACCATGCAGGCAGCCAGCAGGGTGGAGACCCTCTTCTCAAGGCGGGTCCAAGAGAAAAGCATGCTGGGGAGGAGCCCCCTCCCCACCCCAGTCACTGGGGTCCATCCTGCAGAATCATACGTGTAAGGATACCTCAAGTGCTGGTCAGCTTCAGGGATTTCTAGGGCAGGTCAACATTCAGGAGGCCTAAGAGGACAAGTAGCTCTGGGACAAAACACCTTCCTCAATATTATGAAAAGAAAAACCAAAGTAGAAAAAAACAAAGAAACAAACAAGACAACCATAAAGCTCAGATAACATTCTCCCTCTGTCCGATGCACCGGCCGATTGGAGGGCCTTGGCCAACGTGTGCTGGACCATTCATTCCACAGGCTAGAACCCAACCACATAGTTAGAAACATTTTGCTTCATGAGACCCTGAAGGCACCAGCTGGGAAAGCAACAGAACCGAGCCGTGGGAGCCTGCAAAGCGATGAAGGTGCCTTTGATCTGTCCCTACTGGCTGCATGTTCCAGGCATTCGCAGGGCGTTGGGTGTGTGTAGGCCCAGCCACCAGCGCCAACAGGAAAGTGAACATTGAATTTTCTCAGAGGATTCTCAAAGGCTCGCAGGTCATAAATTTTTAGGTTATGGGATGGATTCTGTTAAGTTTCCTGCTATAGCTGGACTATTACTGTCTTTGGCCAAATGAGCTATGGCCCAAATATGTCGGGTATTCATTATCCACTTGCCTCATTGCCACCATTAAACAATCAAATAAAAGGGTGGAGCCCAAAAGGCGAAACTTCATGTTGATTTTGCAAATTATTGTCTTCTTATTCCTTTAACCTCTTGTGAAAAGCTGCAGTTTATCACCCCTTTAAATGGAAATCAAAGTAACTCCCCCTGTCTTAAATGTCTGCGGATTGTGCCATTACTAATAAGTTAAACCTGTTGCAGATAAACATTTACATACATGCAGTACTGTAGTCGTTGAAGTCACTGCATCACAGGATGAAATGTGCTTGGCTAAATAAAAAGAAAATACGGCTGTTTTGCATAAGATTGGAATGGAAACGATACCAAAGGATAGTATGTTATGTCAACAACAAAAACAGGCAAAATATCTCTCTGGCCAGATTGAAGTGGGAAATTAATTATGGCTGTGTGATTGTTCCCAGTGACATCAAGTGTTTCTGTAAGAAGCTGGTTCTCTCTAGACCAGAGGGCAGGGCCAACACGCTGCCCACACAGACGTGGATGGCCTGAGACTCTGGGGACTGGCAAGGCCACTGTGTCATGTAGTCTCTGTCTCTGAGGTTCTTGGCTCACCCCTGCCCATCTCTGTGAGGGCACACCCTGGCTTGGCATCCTTTCTCTACTCCCCACCCATGGTCCCTGCCACCCTCAACACACACACTTGCTTTTCCCAGATCCTCCCGGGTGATTCTTGCACTGAGGTTCCCCACTGTAGCCAGACCAGGAGAGACCCAGTACCAAGTTTCTGCCATTTGGTTACCACCAGTTCACTGAAGTAAGTAATAGGGGGGCAATAAAGGCAAATACGAAGATAATCTACGGAAGACCTCCAAAAGCCTTTTATATGTTTCATTTTAAAAAGCAATTTAACAAATAGATTTCTTATGAAAAAGAGCAAGAGAAAAATAGGCAAACAATATGGACAAGCCATCCACAAAAGAAGAGATGCAAATGGCAAGAGAGTCAACTCAACTTCCTAGTATGCAGAGAAAAGTCAGTTAAAACCACACGGGAATACTATTTCATCCCCTTCAGGCAGAGAGAAAGGGAGGTGCTGCCTTGGCCTGGAGCAGCTGGAATCACACAGGCGGGTCGGGGGAGGTGGACAAGCCCAAGTCTTTGGAGAAGAGTTTGTCAGGGAAGATGCGCAACTGAGGCCCCTGTAATTCCACTCCAGGCCTCAGACCTGAGCGCTCTAGCTCACTGTGCCCGAGTCCTCTGGAGACCTTGTTAACACAGATTCTGAATCAGTCGTTTGGTTTAGTGTTCTTTACCCCAGAAACAAGCGTGCCAATGGGTCTCACAGAATCACGGGGTCCAACATATGCCCCATCACCTCCTGTGTGAACTTCAAGGGTGGCACCACTGGGGGCTCCCTGAGTTCGAGTTCTAACTAAACTCCCTGCCTACTTGGAGTCACTCTCCTGTCACTTTTGGGAGTCTAGACGTGGGAAGGGAACCAGCCTTCCTTCTGGTGACAAGTCATAAATCCCTTTCCTAGTCACCACCCCTTACACCAGGAAGCAGAGCCGGTTAAGACTCAAGCTGCCACTTGTGTGACCAGCAGAGGCCAAAGCTTGGGGCTGAACTCTTGACACACACAAGCGCCACAGCCAACACAAGTAACATCAAAGAACTGAGAGGAACCCTGCTTCCTGACTCAGTGCGATCCCTATGAGAGTTGGCATGGTGCCTACACAGGCAACTCCACACCCACTACTTGGGCAGGAGCAGGAATTGGGCTCCAACTAAAGAGAAAGGCAGTTGCTTTGATTTAGTTGAATCCTCTATTTGGTAGGAAAAGAAAAAATAACTGGTCAACCTAGGCTAGCCTTAAGTATTTTAACCATCCTACTGACCATAAAATCCCTGGTTTTTACCTTGGTCATGTTCACCGGCAGCAGCGAACCCCTAGGGGAACCACCTCCAGCCCAGAAAGTGGCCCCTGATGCTGGGAGAGAGGCAGAAATATACTAGTAGCCTCTGGCAAAGCATCCCGGGCAGGGCTTGGCAATGGGCCGCTCTGAGCCCACCAGCGCCTGCCAGAGCCATGTCAGGGCCTTTTAACCTTCCTAGGGACAAAGTACGAATTGAGGGAGGCCTGGCCAGAAATGACAACTACCCTGGGCAGGGGTGACTGCAGCACCCTCCACAGGCCAACACTGACTGCCACGTAGGAAACCTTTTGCTGACGAGCACAAGTGGGCCTCCTGGCACCAGTGACAATTCCCTGGAGCCCACCTCTGAGTCTGCCCTTCCCGGTCGTACAGGACTAGAGGGCAGGTACCTGTGGGTGAGTCCCTCACCCCAACTCGAAGGCACTTACGAGACTTCCGGTTGGCCCGGGAGCGCTTCCTCTCCCGGGGCACCACTCGCTGACTGGGCACCTGGGTGGCCGACTTGACGATGCGGTCCATGATCTCATCAGCGGCGTCATCCGTGACATTCGGTGAGTCATCGGTTCCCATGGTCCATGAACTAGCGGATCCTGAAGGATTAAACAGGGAATGCGATGAACCCAAAGAAAATGCACAGCGCTGCCCCCGGCAGCTGAGCTGCCAGCAGCGGAGCAGAGCGGGAAGCCCGAGCTCAGCAGATCCAAGTGCTCGCAGGTCCCCACTGTGGGGCACAGGGCACCACTCCAGCCACCACCCTCCAGGCTCTGTACTCCCTAAAACCCATACTTGGGGCACTTATGTCATAATATCTTGTACCACAGCTGTGCTCTTGTCTTTCACTGCCCTTTAACTTTCTATGCCTGGATGCGTCCCTCCACCTGCCAGGTCACAGGAGGGTAGACCCCCCTCCCCACCCCAGACCCCATGCCACACGGTGACGTGCATATCACAGGTATCCAGTGATGTATGTCCAGTAATGTCAGCTCTCTATCTGTGGCTGTATGTGCCTAGTGAATGTTAACTAACCCCAACTTCTCATTCAATGGAATAGAAATCAATGGATTTTGAAACATAGTTTATCTTTGAAATTTCATAGCAAGATTGTCCTCTACAACCAGCAAAGGGGAATTGACATAAATTCTCTTTGGTACACTTCTCTGTTTGCTGACCAAAAAAATACATTTATTAATTACTCCAGGTCTGGCATGGAAACATCTGCCTATAGACAAGCAAGAAGAAAGCCCCACAAAAACATAGTTCCCAAGTCATGTTAAAGAGTTATAAATCAACTAGAGGCTTGGTGCACAAATTCATGTATGGGTGGGGTTGGGCCAGCCCGCCCTGATCAGGACCAATCAGGCTGGGCCAGCTGGGGGTAGGGGCCGTGGGCAGTTGGCTGGTCAGCCAGCCCCGCCCCCTGGTCAAACTCCTGGATGAAGTCCCAGTGGAACTCCCAGTTGAGGGACAATTTGCATAGTAGCCTTTTATTATATAGGATGCTATTTTAATATACCAGGATGAACTTCCTGTGAAATCTCTTCTATAAAATGGGAAATATGCTTCTGTAAGAAGACAGATATATATAAATGTTCTCAAAATTGTGAATTTCCTCTTCCTACACTTCTTTTTGTAACAAACACACAACTTCAAAAGCCTGTGGTCTCCATCACACCCACACAGCTCTGCCACTACGTGGAAAAGCACCACCAACAATACACAACCGAGCAAGTGTGGCTGTGTTCAGTAAGACCTTATTTACAAAGCAGGTGGCCAGCCGAAATTGGCCTGGGGCTGTATTTACTGATCCCTGTTTTAACCTATGAGGATTCATTCACAGTAATAATTCCTCTTGTGTAAATTAATTTATATTTTTGGGACTGTTTTTTTCTGAAATGAAACTAATGAAGGTGGGTGACAAAGGTGTGAGTAAAGAAATGTGTGGCTACATCAGCACTGGGGAGTTGACTGCCCTTTGCAGTGACAACCCAGGCACAGGAACCTATACCCGGTGATGGGGACCAGACCCCCACGGGGTGGTTTCCTGGGAAGATGTGCCCCGCCCAGTCTGGAGTTACCTCGGCTCATCCGGCTGCGTGTGCGGACGCCCAGCACCGGGGTGGCATCATCCATGGCCGAGGACGAGGTGTTCAGCACAGCCTTCATGTTCTCATGCTCAGCGGCGTCCTCGGCGTAGCTCAGGCCCTGTGGTTGGCTCGCAGGTGCTGGCGAACTGCTGGAGAATTTGCCGGACTGCAAGACCAAAGGGGATGATGGTGTGAGCTGCTGTCCCCAAAGCCAACTCAAGCCTATAAAATGCTTAGTTGAGGAACCTTCTCTTCTGTCCCTCCCTGTCCTTTGGTTTGTGTGTATCCTGCAGACACAGTCATCGAGGTTGTGGATGAATAATGACAAAACATCTGTGAACACGGAAGTGCTTTTATCAGAAAGAAAGTCCTGGTCCAGAAGGACCACGCCCATCCCTCCGCTGTTGCAGGCATCTCGGCTCTCTGCAAGTTCCCTCGGTGAGTGCCTACCAGGGGCGACCGAAATCAGCTCTGGGAAGAACTCAGAAACCAAATCCGTTTCCAATGCCAACGCCCTGATCGAGGATCAATATATTTAATGTGTTAATTAAATATATTGAGCTTTACGTTTTTTAAAATTTAGTGTCAGGAAGCAGTTAAAAATTTCTTACATATCACTTATGATAGTCAAATTTTAAAAGTGGGATTCAGCCACAGAATGAGACAAGATTAAGAGTTGGGAAGAAATTTTCCAGATCTAGTCCCACCTCACTTTACCGAGAAGGGAACTGAGGCCCTCCAAGATTAAGTGAACCCAAGGGGGTTTGTTTCAGGCACCAGATCAGAACACGACTCAGAAATTCATGCTGAAACTGAGTTTGGTAACACTTACTACTTCTGGTGGCATCAAAAATATAGTTGTTTAAACAAGCATTATGTGCACACAATATTCTCTAATTCCAGCTGAACAGCCAGGACACAGATGTTTTACAAGAGGTATGCTAGCACATCGCGCCACGGCACACAGTGCCCAACATCTGGATGAGACATAAGCAGTCTGTTAGATTCCCATTTGCAGAGAGGAGCTCTGTAGATCTGGGCTCCCTCTTTTCATCCAGCTTCTCAGCCACGGCAGCAGAGAGCCCAGGACACATCTGTGGCTGGCACATCTGTGTACGGCTCCTTCCTCACCTTCCAGGCCAGCCAGCTCTGACTTGGACTCTGGTTCTGACATCTGGACCTAGACGAGGAGCCCCTGCCCTCCCACCCCTCACACACTGATCCCGCCAGACCCAGTGGATGCCAATGGAGGAAATGGGCACAAGTCAGAGCTACCCAAAGCTGCTGAACCGCTGGTCTGGCCTGGCTCTTAGCCACTGCCCCACTTCCTCTCTGATTTTAGGGCTCTTCATGTGGCTGTTCTAGAACCCAGTTCTCATACTTGTATTGCCAAAAGGCTCAGGCAGGGCTGGAGGGAAAGTTCCCTGACCACTCTCCTCACAGTAGAGAGAGGTGTGCTGGCGCTGCCACTCGGGACAGGGCCTGGGGCTCAGGGACAGCTCGGAAAAGCAGTCAATCCGTCAGTCCCTGGCACACACGGCAGGACAAGGACCCATGTTAGGAGGTTAGTGATCACACAGAAACCAACCCAAAAATGTGCATGCATGGTTTAAAGCACAGAACCATGCTGACACTGCAGGCTGCTAAGGTTAGGCACTCCAGCGTCCCTGGAGGTCACACGTGGCATTCTACACGTTTAGACAGAGTCCTACCTCCATGTCATCCTCTTCATCAGTCTACCCAAGAGAACAGGACAGGATGGAAAAGACAGAAGGGATTCTTAGAAGGCACGGAAGTCAGCAAAGATGAGATCATCTCCATGTCACGTCAAATTCCAAATGAAGAAATTGGCCCCATGACCAGGGCACACCCTCTTGATTTGGGAGTGGCCGGGCCCTGCCTCCATAGCCCTCCTGCCCTCCTCTGGAAATTCCCCAAGCTCTATCCTGACCACAGTCAGAAGGGATTTGGGGGTTCGGGCCAATCTCCCGAGGCTGCCCATGAGGTTGACAGCCACTGTTTTCTGGCCACTCCATACCTCACTCCCAGCTCTGTGTCCTGCCCCTCACCCAGCCACATTCTGTGGAACCACCTCCACTGCCCCCATCAGGGCCTCAGTAAGGGGACTGGCCTCCCTCTGCCCGGCTCCACCTGTCAGTGGCCGCTCCCCTCTCATCCCCAGTGCTGGGCCTCCCTGCCCAGGCTGCCGGTCTGCACCTCCAAGAACCTTCCACACTCAGGACAAACAACGCAGGACCAGAGGAATGGCTGCCCATGCAGAATGGGTCATATCACTGCTCCCTCAGAAACATGAGATTAGGTTCTCTTCAAAATCGTACTTCCCTGTGCCTCCTGGAGGCTGTCAGAACTGACTGGCCATACTTTCAATGCTCACCAACTCTCACCAGATAAGCTCCCTGAAGTCACTTCAAATACTAGTAAAATATCCCTTTTCTGAAAATAAATTGAAGGTGAAAGTCATAGCAATCTCTTAATTTTAAATCAACATGCCCTCAATTTAATGTGTGCTTGTTTCTAGTGAGGTTGGAAGGCTGGGCCAGCCAGTCGGACACGAGGGTGTTGAGAACTGACTACACTTCTGGAAGCTGAAATGACACAGTGCTCCCAGTACATCACCTTCCCAGCCAAGTGCATCGTGACAAGAGGTGACAGTTCTGCTGTGCCATCTTTTAAAAAATCTTACAACATGTTTATTTAACCAGGATTTGGGTTTTCTTTCAGCAATGAGTACACGTGTGCGATGCCAATAGACAAAATCTCTAGCCCTCTCAATATCCCCAAAGTAACTAGCATTCCCTTTTCACAGAGAGGAAGCTGGAGAGAAGGCAAGGGCCTCGCCAGGGTTACCCCTGCCTCAATGTGGGGGTCCTGGGCTGGGCAGCCTGAGTTCTCACAGCCCAGCTGGAGTGGGACGACAGCAGACAGGGCCACAGTGGCCTTGCGCCGCCTCGTCTATGTCACCATTTTACCTAGAACCAGGTGGCGACACAAGGGTGAGAAATTACTTAGTGTCTCCCTGATCCTCCCTGGAGGACTCCTGGACTTTAAGAAAGGAAGCCTTCTGCATGTTCAGAAACAGAGGAAGAAGAGGAGAGACCGGCACATACAGCAGATACGGGGCTGACTCCACCACCGTAGGGTCTTTAGATTTAACCCAGGCAGCTCTGTGCCTTAGAAAATAATGGTTTTCCTAAAACTGTCCTTTTTTAATGGCTGTCACTTCCATCCTCATTGCTCAGCATCTACATTAAAAGTGACTGACTGCACAGCTTTCTCAAAAAATCACTTCCAGCTCTAATGCTCGGGCTCTGCTTCTCCATCTATTACTTGGGTTTGTTTTGAGAGATTTAAGTGGTGGGGATGTTTTTCTTAACCAGATCATGACATCCTGAAGGCATAAGCTTATCTTTTACAGCACCCACATCTTCCTCGTTGCCCCATGCTGTGCTGGGCACGCAGCGGGCGCTTGCTTACTTGAGATGTTGGGAAAACGGGAAGCTGTATACATTGCCATCACTGACAATATTCTGATTTACCAGCAGATGGCAACCTTTCTACACAAATGATGCCACTTTGTCCACTGAAAATAGGGACTATGTCCAGGATAAACCCTGAAGAAGCTGGTACTATTCAGATGTTAATGGGAATTTAAATATTTTTGAATCAGACCCTAGAATATTTTATCCCTGCTTATAAATAGGAAAGCTGAGTGTTTACAGAGAAGGACAGAATTTAAAAATTAGTGGGATCTGTAAAAAATAAATCTCAAGAATTTAGCAAGAAATTTTGACGTGTTTTCATAACTATGAGCATATTGGACTTGTATTTTTCACCCTCCAATGTGTCTCATTTCCACAAAAATAAGCACTCCCCTTTTACAACTTTTAAAAATAATAGTTTGGGATGAAATGTGGGACATAGTTTGCCCAAGTGGATTCTGTTTGCCTCCCGAGCTGCTGTCCTCCAGGAAGTGAAAGATTTGGTTGAACCCAGACTTCAGGAGAAGACACGGGAGACTTGGCTGGTGGCACCGGCGTCTGGGGGACTGCGGGAAGGGCACCTGATGCAGAAACGGGATCTGAGCACTCTCTAAGGGCCCAGAAAATTCCAAGGAAACAGGGGTCTGGGTGGGAGTAGGTGGTGAGGGAATTAGTCCCTAGTTCTCCCCTGCCTTCTTTTAAAATTACTAAGATAATGTGTCCAGGTCTCCATGGAAAAGTCAGGCCCCCTCAAGAATGTGGGCAGTAACTGTGTGCTCCCTGTTTCTCCTACCACATGAACATTTTCTGGGCACAGAAGGTAGCCCCCATAAGGTCTTCTTAATTGATTTTATTCATCCCCAAAGAAATCCACCTGACTTGAGTTCAGCTGAGGCACGCAAAGGACAATGGCTTAGTTGCTACCCATTCCATTCCCTGATCACTGAGAGCCAAGGTGCTTCTCACCGATAGATGCAGATGGAATAAGTTTTGCAAAGGCACATCAGAAAGGGGCACTGTCTGTCCCTGGCATCCTCACACGTCCCTTCCTCTTCTGAATACCCACTGCGCCCATGGCCCAGGGGGCTCGGGGATGAGGTGGGAGAGATGGGGAAGAGCCCAGGAATGGGAGAGACATGTGAGTGTGCAGGGACCCCGGAAGGGGATCCCTTCCCACCCTGGTAGTCTCTGACTGAAGGGTCTGCCAAGAGCCCATCCGATTGCAGCTTTGAGCAACCACATCAATTATTTCTCTATTAAGATGCCTTGAATGGTGGTCCATGTGTCAACTGATAGGTTATAAAGCATCATTATGATGATTAAAATCTTGAATCAATTCCCAAATCAGTACATTGTCCTCCTATAAGTGGCATTATCTTCCATCACAGAGGGTGAAAATGGAAACAAGCATTTAATGTCATCAGCACCATACAACACACCCACATGTGTTACAAGCTCCTCCTCCAGCCACACATTCTTAACTTACATGTCCTAGTTCCTCATTTGTTTATAGCAGATTTTATAGAAAAGAAAAGAAGAGAAAAGAAGCACAGTCCCCAAACTGTGGGACATTTTATGGTTGATTACACTCTCAAAATAAATAAGCTGATTTCCTGAAACTTACATCGGTGATCATCTTCCCTCTGGTCTTATTTCTCTCTCTGTGGTTGGCCCGCTTCTGTTTCTGCTGCAAAACCCTTTCCCTGGTGGTGCGATACTCCAGGGCAAATTCACTAATGATCCTGCAGAACTTGTTTATGTTCACTTCCCGGATCGCATAAGGCGGATGCCCCATAAAGAGCAAAAAGGAATGGAACCTGCAAGGAAAAACAATAGGGCCAATGACTTCAGTTTTAAGGAACAAAAACATTATCTATAAACTTTCAGTAAAAAAAAAACATCAGCAGGAGACAATGTTCTTCTTTCCTGGGGCCTTGAGGTTGAAGAGTCCTCTCAAGTGACAACGAAACCAGAGGTCAAGTTCAACTCACTTTCTCATTGGGGATGGTGAGGGTGAGATGGCAGGATTGCAGGAGATTAAGCATCTTTTTCTTTTTGCTTACCTGTGTTTTAATGCTTCCTAAAATGGATTTGTGCAAGTTTTGTAACAAAAATGAGTATTGCAGTTTCTAGATTATATAAAAATTAAATAAGAAATAAAGAAACGTTGCTTAGCAATTCCTTGGGAACCTGCTCCAGTGAATCTTGGAAAAGACATGAACATATTATGAATAATATGTCAATTGACGGTTTATAAAAAGATGTTTGTAAAGTTTTCTCTGAGTAAATATTTTGATATCTTTTTTTGAAATTTTACATACAATCTGAATTTAATTGGAACACATCGAATGAGACACACAATATTATCTCAGCTATTTAATTTATAAATAAGAAATTGTTGAATGTTATTTACTTAAAATTTTTGTAAAAGAAGTTAAATGAGCAGACGTGTGCCCAATTTTTGGTTTTCAGGATATGAGGAAGAAGATAGTAGGAGACAGAGTGAAATTTTTATGTAAGCAAACAGTATTATATAAATGATACCACTATTTATAGACAAAAACTTTTGGTGTTGATCATTCTAATTTGTACACTTAGAAAAAGGTTTGGTTTATTTTTCAAATGAGTGACACTGACTTATTCTTTTTGTGAAAAACAACAAAGTAAAGCACACAACAGGAATTTAAGGTAAAGGGGGCTGAAAAATGCTGTTTAAAACAAAAAAAATGCTAGTAAAAGTATGAAATTCTTAGAAGAAAACATAAAATGTTATGACTTCGGATTAGGAAATTAATTCTTAGCTATGATACCAAAAGCATAAGCACCCAAAGGAAATATAGATACATTCAACTTCATCAACATTAAAGAGCTTTTGTGCTTCAAAGGTCTCTGTCAAGAGTGAGAAGACAACCCACAAAATGGAAAAAAACATTTGCAAATCATATGCCTGATAGGGAGTGTGTATCCAGAACACATAAAGAAATGTTACAACTCAACACTAAAAAACAAGCAAACAAAAACTGACACAAGATTTGAATAGACATTTCTCAAATAAAGGTATGCAAATAGCCAATAAGTGCATGAAAAGATGCTCAACACCTTTAGTCATCAGGGGAATGCAAATCAAAACCACAGTGAGATGCCCTTCACACTCACTAGGATGCATACCATGAAAAAGACAGGCCATGATGCATGTGGTGAGGATGTGCAGAAACTGGAACCCTCACGTGGCACTGATGAGGCCATAAAAATGGTTTGGCTGCTGTGGACAAGCCTGGCAGTTCCTAAAAAGCTAGAATGGAGCTACTTTATGATCTAGCAATTTCGTTCCTATGCATATACCCAAAAGAAAGGAATAGATGTGTTCACACTAAACTTTCTACACAACTGTTCATAGCAGCATTAATCATAATAGCCAAAAAGTAGAAAAGAAGCCAAATATCCATCAGCAGATGAATGAACAATAGGTGGTATCACCATATAAGGTTTCTCATAACTGGCCTACTACCTCTCTGACCATATCTACTGTGACCCCAGCCACACTGGAACTTCGTGATTCCTTGAACAAGCCCACCTCAGGGCCTGTGTGGCATCTTAACCTTTCCTTTTACACTGGGGACCCTTGGGGAACGTGAGATCCTGCAGGGACTGAGGGAAGGGGTGGGGAGGCCACTCCACTGGGAGGACCACAGGCCCTCACAAGGCATCCAGTACTAGCTGTTCCCTGTGCCCAGAGCATGGTAGTGCCCTCTCAATCCACAGGTCTCTGCCCAAATATCACATCTTCAGAGAAGCCTTCCCACCATAACTACAGTTGAATTCCTGGCTCATGCTGGTCATCCCATTGGGTGACCAATAGTGAGCAAACAGGGACTGAGGTCACATGAGAGCAACATCATCCGGTGACCAGCTTACCAGGGAGAATTATCTATATGTATAAAAGGTTAAGTGACCGACCGTCCATCTGTCTGACCGGCTGTTACACTGTCAACTTAAAAATAAACGTTGACTCGCACATGTGCGATACATATAAAGCTCTCGCTGGCGCCAATCGCATGCGTTTGTTTCTATCTGTCATTGTCGATTGTGAATTTGGTTGTTTTTGTTGACATTCTGAAGCTAAAAGAAAGTGGAGGAGTCAACAGAATATGTCTGAAAACCAACTATTGGCACAATGTACCTCTGACACTTCATCTCTGACACTTCTATTATAGAGAAAGGGCGAATAGTGGTATTAATAAATTTCTTCTAATTAATTTCCTTTCAATGTGCACGGATCCGTGCACCAGGCCACTAGTGTATATATAATTACACACATGCATGGGTGCACACACACACACACACACACATTATAGCTTAAGGAATAGATGTAGCACTGAGTTTTCATGCGTCCGGGATAAAATGGTTAATGTGACCAGGCAGAACAGCTTTTCAAGACTTTCATAAAATCGCTCCAGTTTCATGATATTCCAAATGAAAACTATTTGTTTATTTGAGTAGTTTTAAGTGGGAAATCACTTGTATCATACAAAGCATGCAGGGCCAAAGCAGCTCATGTGCCCTGCCTCCCTCCGTGATCACATTAAAAGCAGAGTGTGCTTGGATTTCAGTGAGAAATCTGACAACATCTTGGGTAATGTCCTTCCACCCAGAGGGCAGCTGTGAGGTCTGAATGGGGTGCAGTGAGGGATTTAAACAACCAAATTCCAAAAGCACTGAGTATTAAATACTTGTCAACCTGAGGGAAGACTCTTTTCCTTATTCCTGTTTCTAACAGTTAAAGATGACCCCCACCCCCATGCCTACCCACCCGAACGGTCTGGAGCAAGACCCAGGAGGTCTGGCTACCAAAGCAGCAAAGGACACAAGCTGGGAGAGGGCTCCCAGGCGGACAAGAGAATCAGGTTCTTAAAAACAGTCACAGGGAGGTGAAGTGAAGCACAGGGAATCTAGTCGTCAACATTGTAATAACTACGTATGGTGCTAGATGGGTGTGAGACTTACCGGTGATCACTTTGTAAGGCATGTACATGTTTAATTACTGTGCTGTATACCCGAAACTAATAGAATACTGTACATCCACTGTAATTAAAAATGAAAGTACTGTGTGACTTCAAGGAAGGCGAAGGAAGGAAACAAGGACAGAAGGGGAAAGGAGGGAGGGACGAGAAAAAAGAATAAAAAAATATGAAATGTTTATGAATACATGAAAATACCACACATCTGTTTGGAAACTTATAAAGTGCTCAAGCAGAGCCCGGGGAGTGTGCCGAGGAGCAGCCCTCTGGCACGGCTGCAGCTGAGACGGCCCCCAGGGAGGGCTTCCTCACACAGCTGCAGTGGCGCTGTCTCAGGGCCTGCCACCCGGGCTCCGCTGCAGGCCGACCACACACCGCAGGTCTGAAGAGCTGCATGCTCGCTTGCCAAGGTGCAAGGCCCAGGACAGGGCACTCAAACCTCCGAGATCAGAGTGACGAAGCAAAGGGAAAGAAAGTGGTGGTGCGTGGTAGGCAATGCCCTGGCCTGGGACACGGGAAGACCCAGGCTCTGGCCTGGGTGCTGCCTCCATTTCCAGGTGAGATAGCCCTGGATGGCCCTGGAGCCATCCTAGATCCTTGCCAGCCTCCTTGTAGGGAAGCAAGGCCTCACACATCACTGCTGTGTCTCCCAGGGTCCTCTTGGATCCTGTGACTCTGAGGAAGGCTGGTCCAGAGGGTGGCACCAGGCAGACCGCAGCACAAAGCCACCATCGAGAATCAATGAGTCGAAGGTCTTGGAAGGCAGACTGTGGATCGTATAAGGAAGGAACTTGCCCGGCGGGTGTAGCTCAGTGGTTGAGCATCAACCTATGAACCAGGAAGTCATGATATGATTCCTGGCCAGGACACATGCCCAGGTTGTGGGCTCAATTCCCAGTCGGGGGCATGCAAGATTCAGTGGATCAATGATTCTCTCTCATCAATGATGTTTCTCTCTCTCTCCCCCTCTACTTTTCTCTCTCTGAAATCAATAAAAAATGTTTTTAAATGAAGAAAAGAAACTTTTCTAAAAAGTCAATCTGCCTCACAAAACGTGTGCTGTCTGCAGGCAGGACTGTTCAAACAGACGGGGAGATCCAGGGCTCAGCTTATCAGAGATGTTACAGATTCAAGTCCTGATCAAGGAGGAATTGTGATTGACATCTCTAAGATTCTTTCCGACCTTAAGATTCAATGGCATTATAGTACTGTGTGTGCTGTGTGTGTGTGTGTGTGTGTGTAAGAAAAATTAAGTGCCCATGAAACAAACATGTGCATCAAAGGCACCCTGGCCACATACCAAGAATTTATCTATCACACAATTTTTGTAAATTTAACCTTCAGATCTCTGTTTGCAGAATATTTTCAACATGCCCTTTTACTGGTGTTCCCATATGTTCCTCACTCTGCTTACCTGTTAATTATTCTCCTATGGACAATCTTTAAAATTATAATTCGCTCAGCACAGTCTTTCAGGAACTCTGACATTCGTTGTTTTAAAACGGGTTTCATTTCATGTTTTGCAATTGCCTTGAGGTGATCCCATGAAGCTTTGCATCGTCTCTCCATCTGACATAAATTATCCTGAAGCTGATCAAAGTCAACCTGAAAATCAGAGAGAGAACACTGAAAACGCGCTGAAACCGCCAGACCCCAACCTGACCCAGGAAGCCCAATTGCCTCTGGGAAGAAATAAACATCAAAACCAAATTTACATCTTGAAATACAAACATATTTATGGCCTCGAATTTCTCCACATGTGGATCTGTCATTATCTCGGCATCAAATTATTTAGTGATAAAACCCTTCTGCAAATGAACCCAATGCGAGCGGCAACTTTCTTTTCTTTTTGCCACATTTGGAAAAGAATCTTGGGCAAGTCTTTGAAAACTGTAAATTAAAACATGATATCCAGGAACCCTCGTACGAGATGAACTGAACAGATGGGTCATAAAATTTTTCAGAGCACTCTTGTCCTTCCCGGAGGTTGGAGGAATGCGCCACAGTCACACATGGATGGCTCTGACGTGCCCCAGCGAAGGGGCAGCCTGCTTCTCGTCACAGGGACCTGGGGCAATAGTCACCTCTAGTAATTGCCAAAGTGAGTGGGCAGAAGCCAAGCTCCAGGCAGAAATACGTAATTTAGTTATTAGTTTGGAAAAGGCCTGATACTGAGGGGGTCCCGGGGCCGTCACTGGGGTCAGCCTGGGGTCAGGACACCCAGGCCAGAGCTACTTTGGTTACACGCAGGCTCCACCTAGAGGGCAAGGCCCTGGGAAAACAAAGGACCACGTGTAAAAAGGGAACCGATTTGTTCTGGATGGTTCTGGAAACAGGACCACAGTGAATCTAGACAGCCAGACAGACTTTGTCTCAGTTATTCCTAACAAACTGTCTTGTGGAAAGGTGCTCAGGGGTGTTAGAGCAGCAACTGGGGACCCCCGTGGGGATACTCACAGGGGCTTTTGCCTTGTTTGGGTTTAGAAGGAATATTTGCAAAGACTTCAGAGCAGTACCTGGCACAGAGTAACATGGTAAGGGTGCCTGCGAAATAGTGTTTCCTAAGAGACCCTCGTTAGCCTCTGAGCTGGGGGATCGCTGGCCGTGCCTCCTCCTGCCTCAAGGCAAGTCCACTGCTGGGCTGGCTCAGGGGCCACCTGCTCAGTGTCCCTGGCAGTTGCCAGCCTGTTGGTCCTGGGGCAGGTGGAGGAGCGTCCCAGCCCCTGGGTCCCCACAAGCTACTTCTGTGGGAGAAGGCGGAGGGAGGAAGAGCTCTGTGGACAGACCTTAGAAAAGCCCCCTTTGCGTCCTCCCCCTTCTGCCCACCACTCTCTCCTCTTCTCACACTAGATTCCGATGTGACCCAGACCTGAAGGTCACTCTGCTTTCAGCTCCTCGGCCTGGGTTGTGTTTCCAGGAGTTTCCACCACACCCCTCCCATGTGTTTGCTGTTGCCCCCAAGATCCTGACATCTCCCAGCTCCGCTGTATTTGAGGTTCCTCTGGGCTGTTGAACCTCAGCGATGCTCCTGCAGGGGGCGCAGCTGGCTGTCCAGCGACTGCACTGTCTCCCGTCTCACACACCACCCATTAGCGAAGGTTTGCACTCTGCACTGCATTTAGGGCAGTGGTTCTCAACCTTCTGGCCCTTTAAATACAGTTCCTCATGTTGTGACCCAACCATAAAATTATTTTCGTTGCTACTTCATAACTGTAATGTTGCTACTGTTATGAATCGTAATGTAAATATCTGATATGCAGGATGGTCTTAGGCGACCCCTGTGAAAGGGTCATTCGACTGCCAAAGGGGTCGCGGCCCACAGGTTGAGAACCACTGATTTAGGGGCTTGCAATGAGGGACCAGGGCCACGTACGGTTACAGCCCTATAAACCCATTCCCTCTGGGGACCATCACAGGGACGGCCAATCTGCGGGGCAGGGGGCCAGGCGAGCCCGTTTCCTGGCTCAACACCTCACTGCCAAGTCCTATGGAAGTCCGAGGAGGAGCCAAACTGCCTCTTTTGACATCTTTGCCCACATTAAACAAGCTGGGAGTTTTAATGCCCGAGAACCCAGCCTGGTGAGTAACACAGCTCCTCCGTGGACACAGCAGTCGGGTCGGGGATGGCAGGCTTGCTCACATACCTCAGTAGGAAAGAATCCGGCGGAGAACCAGAGATGGGAAAATGATCTTAAAAGTGCACTCCAAGAGGCACGAGACGAGTCATAGTCACAGACTCCAGAGCAGGGGATGCAAGCGGCCCTTGGGTGTCTTACTTCACAGAGCCTGTGCTCCTGAGGATGGGCACAGACCCAGCTGAGGGGGAGACAGACCCACGTACCTTGGCTGACCTGGTGACGGCCCCGATCTCTGAGTACAGGTCGGAGCTGTCGGGGAAGTTCTCCACCACTATGGTGCACACATGGTGGAGGAGTGACTGCTTGTGCACGGTGTCTTTCACTTCTGGAACCTTCTCGAGGTAGCTTAACTCAAACGCTTTGGCCTGGTAGGTGAACATCAAATAAAAGGCAGGAAGGACAAGTTTTACGCAGGTTCTTAGAAAGACACAAAAGGTTAGACTCGATGCCCTGTTGGAGCAGACCAATATATATTTGTTAAAGATATGTTTTTTATTGATTTCAGAGAGAGGAGAGGAGAGGAGAGGGAGACAGAGAAAAAAAAATCAATGTTGAGAGAGAATCATAGATTGGCTGCCTCCTGCACAACCCCCCCCCCCTCCACTGGGGATCAAGCCCTCAACCTGGCATGTGCCCTGACTGGCAATCGAACCGTGACCTCCTGGTTCACAGGTCAATGATCAACCCCTGAGCCACACTGGCCAGGCAGCCCAGCTTCCCAGGGCACACACTCTGTCATTCCTAAGCTGGTCACACCTGAATGAGCCACATAGAATGAGATGAGCCTCCAGCCCTTCCCCACCACAGCCCTCAGCCATGGGCTGTCCCAAGGGTCTACCCCTAAAAGCAAGGTGCTGGGAGGCTGGGACTCTGCCATCTGGGTATCTACACCCCTTTTCTCCCTTTGCCTATTTCTATTCTACTTCCTGGCCAAAGATAGGCCCATTTTCAAACAAGTCTGTTTATAATGCATATAATCACAAATATTTGAGTGATAAAAATACAAATATTTGGCCCTGGTCAATGTGGCTCAATTGGTTGGGTGTCATCCTATGTATTGAAAGGTCACTGGTTCAAATCTTGGTCAGAGCACATGTCCAGGTTGCGGGTTTGATCCCTGGTTGGGGTGTGTGCAGGAGGCAGCTGATTGATGTTTCTCTCTCACATCGATGTTTTTTCTCTCTCTCCCCACTTCACTTCCTTTCTCTTTAAAATCAGTAAAAACTCATTTAAACACAAATATTTGTATTTACATACATCAGACAAACAACAGAAAAGCCTAGAAGAAAATGCTTCCGATACCAATTTTGAAAGTAGCTGACCTTCGAAGGAATAGTATGTTCATTTTTCTAAGTTTTCTTATTTATAGCAAGATACAGGTTCAAATACAGAGGCCCTGGTATTTTAAAAACAAATTTCTTCTAGATTTTTAGCAAGAAAACACAAAAGTTGTTTTTCGAAGACCAGTTGTGCTTTGGAAAGCCAGTGGTATGACAGCCTCCACCAGCAAGCGAAGGGCAGGGATTCTGCAACAAGGGAGGGAGGGAGAAGGGATGGGAAGACTTACATTAGTTCCATTTAGAAAGTTCCCGATGGCTAAGAGAGTAGACAGGATGAAGCCCAAGGTTTTATTGTTCTCCAACTGGTCTATTCCTTCCTTCAGGTCCAAGAGTGGTTCTGCCACTTCCTTTCAATTAAAAAAAAAAATGGAAGAAGATGATAATGTTCGTTTTGGTTTTACTTTGTTCCTTTAATTTCTGTACAAGGTAATAACAAGTTCTGCTCAGAACAGGGCAATCCCCCATGATCTGCACATGCTCCTTGTCAAGGAAAAATGCCGAAGTGGCAGGGAGCAAGTCTAGTCCCCAAAGTCTCCCCAGTGGAGGCCAAGTGGGGACCTGTGCTAACAGGAATGTGTGCTGGGGGATAAGTAACCCGCCTGCCCCCTTTCCCGTCCATCTTCCAAGCACAAGCAGGCCTAGCACCCCGTCTCCTCTCATCTCACCATGGCTGACTTCTATGACACTCCCCGCTCTCATGCTCCTTCAGAATCTGGACCAGTCTTCTTTGCTTTTCCCCTACCAGGCAGATGACACCGGACACTGTGGCCTCACTGTCCCTGGACCACCCAGGTCTCCTAACCTCTCCTCTAGGCACTCTGGCCAGTCACCTCTTGGTCTGGGGTCCTTTCTAGAAGGCCACCACCCTCATCATCCCCACGGCCTACCTCAGTCCCACTCTCTCAGACTGGTAGCCTGCCCTGCAGCCTCATGGCCTCAGTCCCTTTTTGACTGTCACCGTGCGGTCCCCACTCCCATGTTCTTACTGAGTCTCTCCCAGAGCCAGAGGTTCACCTTCACTCTGCAGCCTAGCTTCCGCCCTGCCTGTGCCCAACCAGGGCTGACCTACCTGGCTGTTTTCTCCATGATGCCACCTAATCTGGCTGGAGAGAGCCACCTAAACCTGCTGACTGGTTTTGTGATCAAGTCATGCCCAGTCACCTGAGTAGTCCAGGTTTCTTCATCCCTGCTTGGTTCCCAAATGAATTCAAACACAGCAGCTTCATCCTGAAGCTCCCCAGACCCACGCCACCTCTCTGGCCCTTGTATAGCACGGTGCTCTCTCCTCTGCAGTAAGGGAAGGCCACGCAGCCTCTCCACCTGGGCTTTGAACCCGTCTCCTCTGGGCACTTCCTCTCCATTAAACTCACCTCCAGCTCACTGTCCACCTCTGCCCTTTCCTCTCCACTAGTTCCGTTTGCTCAGCTGCCAAAAGTGCTCATACTGCCCGGAGTCAGAGAGGGCTCCTGCTCCTTCTGCTTTCTACTCAAGATGAGCCCCCCACCCCCCATGCCTTTACTGTCCGGATCCCTTTCCTTCTGTGCTCCTCTCAATCCCTTGCAATCTGTTTCGTCCTCAACCAACTGTCTTCCACTTTCTCCTGAGATAGGCTCTCAGAGGGACCCAATGACCTGCTAACTGCGTCCCTTTCCTTCTGTGCTCCTCTCAACCCCTTGCAATCTGTTTCGTCCTCAACTGTCTTCTGCTTTCTCCTGCGATAGGCTCTCAGAGGGACCCAATGACCTGCTAACTGCCACAGTCACGGGCAGTGTAGACGATTATCATCAAGTGGGTGGATTTCAGATCACTTTCTATACTGTGCTTGTCCGTATGCTCCAAATTTTCTACAGTGAGCAGACAGATCAGAAGAAAAGTTAATAGTTTGTTTTAACCCACAACCACGTGTCTGAGGCTGGTGCCAGGCACACACATTAGAATAACCCATCACCGGCAGGATCCTGATCACTCAGTACAGACACAACCTCATCATAATCAACTCACCCCTCCCTCGAGGATGACACGCCACTCCCTTCCCCAACGCAAACCTGACTTCCTCAGACACAGGATGCAGGACTGGCTGCCTCTCCTCCTACCTTTTCTGTGGTTTCATAGTCCATTTTGAATGCCCAGAGGTGGAGCCGCGCCGAGAGCTCGCTGATGGAGGAGAGCGTGAGGAGGAACTGCTCCGCGCTGCCCAGCGGGGCCTCAGGGTTTGCCAGTTGGGCCTCCTGGATTTTCTGCTTCTCCTCTTCCGTGGGGATCATGGTTAGAATTTTCTGAAAAAGACAGGATGATACAGTATATGTGCTCACTTAGTGATGGAACCTATCTCACCCCTTCAATGTTGCGAAATTCGTATTATAACTTTCCAATCAGGTAGGAGAGATGTTCTGCTGTCAGTGTTCTATGGCATACAGGTGTTACATTGTCATAAATCAAATGTGCATTAGGGAAAAGCCCCACTGGCATCAATTTGACATTCCTTTGTTCTAAATGTCCCTCCTTCCCTCTCTCTCCTTTAACCTGTTTCATAAGCAACTTGCCCCAAATGTTCTGGGTCTTGTACATGAAGGACATTCTGAAATCCACCCACTTGATAAAGGTGAGAGAAAGGTGATAGAATAAGATAGAAGATTAGAGAACTATTTCCTGTTCCCTAGGAAACAGAGTAAAACATCTCAAGAATGTATGTTTTCTAGACCTTCTCATCGATTCATTTTAAAGGTTATAAAAATGAGTGACTTTCAAATAACTCAGATTGACTTATCCAGAGGACATATAATTTTAAGTGTTTTAAACACTTAAACCATATTTTTAAATTTATATAGAAATGAAAACACTTTAAATGATATCAAACTCAATTGAACAGGTAGTGAGTTGACCATTTTCCCTCTGGCATTCCCCAGCCTGGGTGTAAGGGAGTGGGAAACCTGGGAGAGGGCATCAGGTGCAGAGCACTCCAGCGAACCCTCTCATCCTGACTGGGGGAGTGGGAAAGGGGTCTCCTAGCAGAGGCAGCAGGGGCTGGAAGAACCTAAAACTCTGGAGTGAGAGAACCTTCCTCTCCAATCAGTGATGCTGTGGTCCAAACCCCTGCTGCTTTTCTCCTCTCTGTCCTCCCTCGGCTTGGCCCTAAACGTGAGCACAGTTACAGAAGGTGGGTGGCAAAGTGAGGTAACTGAAGCCCCAGCTTTCAGCTGGAAGACCAAGACAGAAGGCCCAGGGCCCTGGAAAGTACTGGAGAGGTCATGGAAAATGAAGAGCCTGGCAAAGCAAATGATAATGTTGTTTAAGAACTTCTGAGTTCATCCCTGAGCTGCTCATATGTGAGGCTGACCTTAACCGGCACATCAAAGACTTGGAGACCTGGACTAGTCTTTGAAAACTTCAAAAATGGATCCAAAGCTGGAACCACAGTCTGCAACATGCAGGTCTGAATCCTGGCCTGAACCCAAGCAAGGGAGGGCTAGTTTTCAGTTCTCTGTATGAAATAAGAATTACTCTGATATAAAAACTACACAAAGATAATGCAAGAAAAGAAAGCTAGAGACCAATGTCCCTGATGAAATTAGATGCATAAATCCTTAACAAAATAGTTTAAAATATATAAATGAATGTCAGTATGTTAAGATATATAAACACAACATGACTATATTTTACATAGCAATATAACAAAAATAATAACCACAAGGTTGGTTCAATATGCAGTAATCAATACATTTAATCTACCAGATTAATAATCTGAACAAGAAAATTCACATAATCATTTTGATACAAAAATTTTAAAAAATAAAATTCAATATCTATTCATGACAAAAAACAAATAAACTCCCAGCCACCCAACAGTAGGAGAGATTTCCCATACCTGATAAATGACATTTCATAAAAGACCTACAGCTCACATCATGCTTAGTGGAGATAGGCTGAATGCTTTCTCTCTAATATTTGGAACAAGATAGAAAGTATTTTAAAAAGAGCCACGTGGATTGGAAAGGAGAAATGTAAACTGTCCCTATTGCACAAGGTAGAATTGTCTGCATAGAAAATTGTGAGGAATCTAAAAAATTTATAAAACAGTGAGTTTAAAAATGCTGTATGACATTAGGTCAACATACAGAAAAATCTATTTTATTTCTATATATGGATAATGCACAATTATAAACTGAAATTTAAGAAAAATTCTATTTACAATGAAATACTTAGGTATAAATCTAACAAACCGACTTGTAGGGTCTGTATGCTGGAAAGTAGCAAGTATCGATAAAAATGATTTAAAAAGACCTAAATAATTAGGGGACATACTGTGTTCGTGGACTAAAAGACAACAGGGTCACATATTAATTTTTCCAAAGTTGGTCTATAAGTTTAACTCAATTCCAATGAAAATACCAGTAAAGTATTTTTTGTGGATACAGACAAGCTGATTATAAGTGTTTATGACAAAGCAGATGAACCAAACCGTAACAATTTTGAAAACGAACAACCTTGAGGGAGTCCCACCACCCGATTTTAAAATGTACTAGAGAGTAACAGTAATAAGCCAGTGTGGTCTGGGCAACAGGACAGACATGGATCAATGGGACAAAACAGGGAGTCCAGAAATAGACCACACAAATATGGCCATTGATTCTGACAAAGATGCAAAAGCAGTTCAATGGAGAAAAGATAGTATTTCCAACAAATGGTTTTAGAACAATTGGAATTCTTATGCAAAAAAAGAACCTCAACTTAAACCTTACAGTTTACACATGGATTAACTCAAAAGAATTAACAGATCTAAAGTAAAAGCGAATACTGCAAAACGTTTAGAAAGAAACAGGAGAAAACCTCTGTGACTCATGTTAGGCAATGAACTCTTTAGACATGATACCAAAAAAGATCAGGTTGATAAACTGAACTTCCTCCATGTTAAAGACTTTTTCTCGGAGAAAAACACTGTGAAGAGATTGGAGAGACAAGGTGTGGTCCCTCAAAAGGTTAAACGCAGAATTACCACATGAACCAGCAATTCCATTTGTAGGTTTTCACCCATGAAAACTTATGTTCATACAATAACTTGTACATAAATACTTGTAGCACCTTTATCCATAATTCCAAAAACTGGACCAAACTACATATTCTTCAACAGGTGAATAAAGTGAACTCAGCAATAAAAAGGGACAATCTACAGGGACATACCACAACTAGGAAGACTCTCAAAGACACCCTGAGTGGAAGAAGCCAATTATGATTCCATTTATGTGAAATCCTCCAAAAGACAAAACCACAGTGATGAGACTAGACCCTACAGGTCTAGTTACCAGGGGCCAGAGGCGAGCTCAGGGTGAAACTAGAAAGGGACAGCACAAGAGCACATTTTTGAGGGGAGATGGGACTGTTTTGAATCCTAACTGCAGTAGTAATTGCATGAATTTATGCATATTTAAAAACCCTTAGAGCTGTATAGCAAAAAGTTTCATTTGACTCTATATGAATGCAAAAAATTTAAAAATAAAGAACAAAATTGCAATCCTGGACCCCTGACATCATGATTGGCAAACACACAGGTGTTTCCAGGATTGTGCCTCAGGACGTGTGTGGCGGGGCAGAAGCCATCTGGGTTTGATGAGCGTGTGATCAGGGAGGGCTGTCTCGGTCCTTCATCAGGAGCCAGTGATGCCCAACTGCATGGGAGGCATGTGTTCTGTGCTGCAGTCGGAGTGAGGTCATGCCCTCAGCCCTGGCCGGTTTGGTTCAGTGGTTAAAGTGTGGGCCGTGAACTAAGGGGTTGTGGGTTCAATTCCCTGTCAAGGGTAAATACCTGGATTGCAGGTTCAACCCCTGGCCCTGGTCAGGGCTAGAGCGGGAGGCAACCAATTGACGTGTCTCTCTCATGTCAATGTTTCTCTCTCTCTCTCTCTCTCTCTCTCTCTCTTTCCCCCCTCCCTCCCTCTCTCTCCCCGTCCCTCCCTCTCTTCCTCTCTTCCTCTCTTCCTCCCTTCTACTCTCTCTAAAAATCAATGGAAAAAACATCCTCACTACTTGGGTGAGGATTTAAAAAAAGAAGGTATGCCCTCAGATACCTCCTCTTCCAATATGCTCCTCATCATGGCCCCTAACTGAGATGATGCAAGTGGGATGTAACATCAGGGTGATATCCCCCTCCCTCCCTCTCTTCCTCTCTTCCTCTCTTCCTCCCTTCTACTCTCTCTAAAAATCAATGGAAAAAACATCCTCACTACTTGGGTGAGGATTTAAAAAAAGAAGGTATGCCCTCAGATACCTCCTCTTCCAATATGCTCCTCATCATGGCCCCTAACTGAGATGATGCAAGTGGGATGTAACATCAGGGTGATATGCAGTGACAGTGCCCCTTGCTCTCCCACAAGCTCTGCTTGGACCCCACCTGTCTCCACAGATGGTATTAGACAATAAGCAAAGCAATCCAAGCCCAGGAGTTGAACTCAATCAGTTTTCAAAATAAAAACATAACTAAAATTTGTGTTTTAATTTTCTTTCTGCTCAAATTGTTTTCAGCATGGACAAGAATTCCGAAATAAAAAATTGTCAACACTTTCCCCCCTTCTTCAGAAGGCATTTTCCTGCCATGCTTTTAGTTGCCTTTTTCCTTTGGGAAAGTAATCAAACACTCTTACTTTTGTTTTTCACTTCTCCGACTAATTGAAACCATTTGTTCAGTGTTGAAGATTTATGAGGCTACCAGCTGCCAGTTTGTTTTATTTTTTCACACATCGCTGACAATAAAAATAGCCCTAAGACAGTGGAACGGCAGGTCAGCGCCACCTCCTCTGAGGTGAGGGCTGTGTTTTTCCAGGAGCAGATGAAAGGAGATGAGCACGAGGGGGAACCCCTGATTGGCTCTTCTCCGGGCCAGTAGATCTACTGATGATTTTATGATGGCCATTTGATTCCACAGGGAGAAAAACATCAAACAAGACCCCTATGCAATAATGCAGCGTCTTTTGTTTTTTATTTCCTCCCAGACAGGGCTTCACTTGCTTGTGTACCTGAAAGCTGAATGTCATAGAAAAAAGCACAAGTCTCACTTTTCATGGACCCAAATGGTTAGGGGTTTGGCCATCTCATTCACATGCAGATGAGGCTGCAATGAGGAATTATTTTGCCTTGTGAGCTTTGAGCAGAACCCTGGCTACAGCTCTGGATGAGAACCTCACACAAGGATTTTGGTGACAACAGCAAAGAGCTGAAGAGCTGGGCCTGGTTTGTACACAATTTGTATATTCTCATGAAACAATGGCTTTCCATTTGGGTCTTT